TTGTCGGACTGCATGTTTCCAAACCCACGAAGCCTCCAATGTCGAATCCGAACCCATCCAAACGAACTCCGGACCACTTTCAAGTTAAACTACGGCTGCCTGACTAGTACGTCTTACTACATCTTGTCGAACTTTTGTGCAATTTCAATTAGCATAAAGTCTCACCAACAACATGCTGCTTTCTCCACCAGCATTACCGTCATTGTCAGCGGCAGTGGCAGCAACTCTAATCATCGTCAACCGCATTGAAAATGGAAGCATCGCGGTGATCATAATAATCATCGTCTTCCTCTTCGTTGTTATTCTCGTCAGAATTATCAATATCGGATCTGACGACAACTTATCACAATTGACACCCGACGCCTCCCGAAGCCCGGCAAAGCTGCGTGGAACATCATAAAGCCGGAAGCCCGAACCCTGAACCCTCACACTTGAATCCCCAAAACGCCTCACCCTCAACCCGGACTGCCCCTGGCCACGTCCATAAAGCAGCATGTTTTTCAGGGAACGCCAATGCTTTCAGGCGAAGCGGCGATGATTTTCTCCATCATCAACCACTTGCGTTTATCATGGCGGCAAACGTCATTCTTGCCACAGTTGCACGGCGGAAAGCTGGATGAACATTCGTCATAAACCTTGAAGCCCGACTTGGCATAGCACTTTCGGGCAGGTTCGTTTGTCTCCAACACAGACAATTTGACTTTGGAGATGGCAACACCCAAATTCCGAGCGCGCTTCTCGGCAGCTTCGAGAAGCAGACCGCCTACTCCGCGTCCTTGATGAGGCCTGTCCACCTTGCAGTGGGTAATCGCCAATGTCTTGTCTGCAAAAGATGCATGGACGTACCCAGCCAAGGTTTTGGTCTGTGTAGAGACTGCTGGGAGAGTGAAGGCAGATGGGCGAGAGCCACTTGCTAACTGCTCAATCACATTCAAATGTTCCTTCTCGTCGTCCATGCGCACATTGACAAGAGCCGCAGCTTGCTGTGTAGTCAAGTTGGGGTACCACGTCGTGTCCTGGTGGAGGTGCGCATGGTCGCCCGCGAATTCCAGCTCCGAGCGCCGCAGGCGTTT